TAAGATTTAAAAAATATATATTTTTTATATGATAAATAATTTTTAGATTTTAACTGCATAAGGATTTACTGGATTATAAAAATCTTACTTGAATTAAATCCATCTTGGCGCGAATGTTCTCCTCTAATTATATGCTCTCTGCTTGGTTGAGAGCCAAATTCTCATCTCCCTGGAAGAGTACTCTGACCTCTAAATCTTACATATTTTGAAAATTTACATGTGATATTCTGTACATGATAAAAAAAATATTTCTCTCAATGTTTCTACTACGGACTATAAGCTATCTGTTAAAGTCCTGTACCGAGAACAAAATCAACACAGTAAAAATAGAACTAGTGATAGCTAAAGGAATTATAACAGAAAGTGTAAGACTAAAGTATCATAATATTCCATTCTTTAATACCTCGCAGCATCTGCTACAACTGTATATATATTAGTAAAGATGAAGAAGAGAATAAGCAGAATCAGCATCTGGCCGTTGAGTAGAATGTTCATGGATGGTTGAGATGCTGTCTGACAATTCCTTCTGCAAGAGGCGGAGTCGTTTGATGTTGTTTTCATGTGCAGAGTAGTGGTAGTGGATGTGATATGGAAAACTGCCTATCATTTGTGGTCCTGTTTGATGTACATCAGTTTTTTTTTTTTTTTGGGAAATTTTGGGGGCTAAGCCCATATATTAAAAACTAAAAGAAAATTATATGTAAAGGTGATTACATGTAAAGCAACCCTACATAAGCAAAGAAACAAAAACTTATGCAGGGGGGGTCTAGTAAAAACCTCAACTATACCACCCAAAAGAAAAACAGAATTACAATTGAGATAAACAAAAAGGAGAACAACTCTTCAGAGTGACCCAGGTGGTAGAATCCAAGTTCAGAGATGGCAGATAGAGACCAAAAATCGCAACTCGTAGAACCTGGAAGAGAAATTCCATGCAGCCCATAGTAGAAACAAACCAACCAAAATTGCTCCAGCCAATGAAAAGTTGAACTCCATAACAATACAGGCAGGTGCAGATAAAGAGCTGCAGACAAAAACAAAACCAAATATTCCCAAAAAATGGCTCCAATCTCATATAACATATAACATATAACCAGGACTCAGGTAATAAATCCAGAGAACCTCTGGTTTCCCGAAGGCCGTCCAAGGGGATGGCAGCTAAGTAGACATCGAATGGAGCTTCATCATTGTCCTGGCTATAAATCCCAGTCCAGCAGTAAGGCAACATAAGGCAGAAAATCCAGCCCATCATATAAAAAATAATCCAGTAAAACCTTAGCATTTTGCTCATCATCATCCCAAAACCAAAATCCACCATACAGCACAGCATTAGAGACGTATGGAAAACAATGAGCCATAGCCAACAACGCCTTGCTAGCCCATGACAGAAAGAAGAGTCGAAGCATTTCAACCAACGAACCTCAAGAAATAAAATTGGGATTAGCCCATTAACCCAAAATACCAAAAAATTTAACCTTAAGCCTGTCATAATCCTTCCAATGCTTAGTTTTGCCTCTAACAGCTTTAATGATATCACATTGTATGTCATAAAGAGATCTCCACATACCATTAAATCTCCTGTTGTTCCGTTCCCGCCAAGTAAAGTAAATTATAGCAGCCACGGTGAGATAACAGAATTGCTTTTCCATCCTACCATAATCTCTCACATTATCCAACAAATCAAAAACTTGAATAAGGTTTGGCCTAAGGTAAAATTTAGCCGTAACAGGCAGCAAGTAAGAGAGAATAGAGAAAGAGTAATCACATTCAAAGAAAATGTGAGAATGATTCTCCAAACTAGTATCTGCAGTTTTTAATTTCCCTCTAAGAGCCATCCAAGAATAGCAGGAATAATGCAAAGCATGTCTTTTATGCCAAACATACCTAAACCAGACCACTTTATCCATATGCTCATAAAAAGTAGATAAGATTTTATAAGAGGGAGGGGTGGGGGAGCCATCCCAGGTAACCACCGGTTGCTCCCCCACAATATTGGTATCCAGGATATCAGCAAAGATCCCCATCGGCAAAGTGTCAGGTAGCTTCCACATATTGTCAACAATAACATCCTTAACCCGTAAGGTAACAAGCCTATTAGAATAAACAACATCAGCTACAAGCTTCTTCTTACACCAAGGGTCCCAAAGAAAGGAAGATTGCAGTTTCTGTTCACAGAGAAGGAGATTGACGGTAGGATGGAGGAAGCCACATTACAGAAATGTTTCCAAAATTTCGAAGCACAATGGGTAAGGCTTCCAAGGCGACAAGTACTTCTCCCTATACCAATTTCCCAGCCATAAATTATTGTTGCACATTCTGAATAAAAAGGAGACGGCCATCTTGTGATAAAGGAATTCAAAAGAAGGAAGGCCTAAACCACCCTTAATTTTAGGAATCACCACAGACTTCCAAGAGATAAGATGCAGTTTCTTAGTAGAGATGTTGCCAAAAAACAGGAATTTAGCACAGATCCTAGAGATTTCTTTTTGACACCCTTTAGGTATAATCACCCCCCGAATCCAATAAGCGATAGTATTGGCAATGGTGAACTTTAAATATTGTAATCTCCCTGTAAAAGAAAGAAACTTAACTTTCCAACCCGCAAGTAGAGAAGAGATCTTACTCAGTAGGGGTTGGAAGTGAGAAAATTTAAGTCTAGAGGTGGAGATAGGAATGCCCAAATAGGTGATAAAGTCATTCACCCTATGAATCCCAAGAATAGACGCTATGGCATTGTCAGAGTGCATAGTTTTGGAGAGCAGCAAAGAGCTTTTCAGAGGGTTAATATGTAAACCAGAGGTACCAGCAAAGGTATGAAGGATACTATTAAGAGCAACAACATTATCAACCTTGGCAACCCCAAAAACTAATAAATCATCCGCATACATTAGATGATTAATGTTAAGGTTATGAGTCTTTAAACCTTCAAACCCATCAGGCGCATCCAGACAAGAAGATAGAGCATCCATGATGATACAGAAAAGAAGTGGGGACAGAGGGCATCCCTGCCTTAAACCAGAAGAATACCTGAAGAAACCTTCCATAGCTCCATTGAGGCAAATAGAGAAATGCACATCCCAAATGCACCCTTTAATCCAGCCAATAAAAGTCTCAGGAAAGCCTTTTTGTCTTAGTCTATTAAGCAAAAAGGAACGAGAGACAGAGTCAAAAGCTTTTTTGATGTCAAGCTTGGCACAGAAGTACTTTTGATAATCTTTAATCTCCCTCAAAAGTTCAGATGCAAGAATGATGTTATCGATATAACACCTTTTTGAAATAAACCCAGATTGGCTTTCGTGAATAATAAAAGGAAGAATGGGTTTCATTCTATTCGCAAGAATTTTAGCAACAATTTTATAAAAGACATTGCATAAGGATATAGGTCTGAAATCAGAAATGACATTAGAGTGAGTGCCCTTAGGAATAAGGGTAATAGCGGTTGCCTTCGCAAAGGCATGATACCAGAAGCAAAAAAATGTTTAACAGCTCTACAAAGGTGGAAGCCAATAATATGCCAAGTTTTCTGGTAAAGGCCAAAGGAAAACCCGTCAAGGCCAGGAGCAGCAGTTGATTTACCTTCGAAGACCACAAGTTTAATTTCCTCATTGGTAACCGGGCTTATAAGATCAGCCAGCAGATGGGTAGGAATAGTGTTGCCACTCGGAATGGTGAAGGAATTCTCCAAAGGAGGAGTGACCTGGTTATACAACTCCCGGAAGTGGCCAATAAGAGCTGCAGCTAAATCATCATGAGAGGAAAGTAAACCATCCGGGGAAGCCAGTTGATTAATTGTGTTCCTATTTTTCCTAGCTCTAATCTTGGCATAGACGAAATCTAGATCATCCTCACCATGAGATAGCCAATAAGCCTTAGCTCTCTGAGATATCAAAGAAATCCAAGCTGATTGGAAATTGGCCAACCGATTATTGATCTCCTTGAGAGAGGAATTCAAGGATTGATTTAAAGGATCAGTTTGGATTTCTGATAAAAATTGATGCTGCAAGCTTTTCAACTCTAATATGCCACTAGAAATAAAATTCGAAGAGCTCCACCTTTTACTTCTAATGACCACTTTGAGCTATTTCAAACAATCATAAAAAAATGCTGTAGGGCTAGCTCCAATGTTCCCGTGAAAAGCATGAAAAACCATATCCCAAAATTCATCAATTTCCGTCTAGAATGCCTTAAACATAAATCTGGAAGGTTTCTTTTTAACATGGGCAGCGAACAGAATTAATGGGGAATGGTCAGACCCCGAATGATCTTCCACTTTATAATAAGCCACGGGAAATAAGTCCAGAAAAGCATTATTAACCAACATACGATCCAATTTAATGTGAATAGGATCATCACATCTTTGATTGAACCAAGTATAAAACAATCCAACCGATGCAAGGTCATGAATCCCAGCATATGTTATCACTCTCTATGTTTTGGGTCTAATCGAAAATCTCTCTCTGAACTCATGGCACCTTTTAGCTCCTCCCATACAACTATGCATTTTTTTTAATTTACATGGACACTAGGTTATTATTTTACGGTGCCTAAACAAGAGTTAATTATTTGCTAAACTCAACAAATGTTTTTTTGTCAAATAATTTTTATTTGCTCACTTTTTTGCAACTTTTAAAAATTATCCTAAATGAACCTGAGTTGAACTATAGTCATATTGTCCAAGCTAGTATAATGATGAAAATAATGTTGTTTACCTGCACTTGCATACAAAATTATATTTAATTAAACAAATAAGGAGCTTCTTAGGCCAACTACAAAAGAAAAATTTATTTTTTCACTTCAAAATGCAGTAATTCATCTACTACCAAACTGCATATTTTAACACAAAAAAATATTATGTGCATATTCTTTCTCATTTTTAATATTTATTTTCAATCATACATTTATATTTATCAAATTTTCAAATTAGGCTTTTTTAAAATTTTAACAAATAATTATTTATTAAAAAATAAAAAATTATATATTTTTAAATAAAAATTACATTAGATTGCAAAATTAGAAATGTAAACAAATTACACAAGCTACTGTCAATTCCGTTCAGGAGTAATAGAGAAGCATGAGAATTAATTTATTCAATGTCCTTTAAAATTATATGTATACTTTAAAAACCTCTCATTGCAAAGTGCCCCAGTCAATTTTGTATATACAGAGATTGGTCATCCTCTCACTGCAAACGAAGTCAAGAACTATGAAGCGGATGATATCGGTCAACATGAATCAGAGCAACAAATGAAGAAATCTCCATCAACTTACACGGTTGGATGCCCTCCAAGAAAGAAGTTCCTCCAAGAAAGAAGTTCCTTAAAGAATTCGCTGATGGATTAAAGGAAACGTTCTTCGCTGATGATCCCTTGAAGCCTTACAAGGACCAACCTAAATCAAAGAAGTTCATGCTTGGGTTGCAGTTTTTGTTTCCAATCTTTGAATGGGGAAGAAATTATAATTTGATTAAATTTAAAGGAGATCTCATTGCTGGATTAACCATTGCAAGCCTCTGCAGATCTCAAGATATTGAATATGCCAAGCTTGCAAATCTAGAACCACAGCATGGTCTTTGTTCTAGCTTTGTTCCGCCACTTATTTATGCATTCATGGGAAGTTCAAGAGACATTGTTATTGGACCCGTAGAAGTAGTTTCTCTTTTGTTAGGGTCCCTTCTTCAAGATGAGCTTGATCCCACAAATAACAAAGAGGAATACCTAAGGCTTGCATTCACAGCTACTTTCTTTGCTGGTATTACTCAAGCATTGCTAGGATTTTTAAGACTAGGATTTCTTATAGACTTCCTTTCACATGCTACAATAGTTGGATTTATGGCTGGGGAACCATTACTATTGGCCTTCAGCAACTCAAAGGTTTCCTTGGCATAGAGAAATTTACAAAGCAAACTGACATCATTTCTATTATGAAATCTATTTTTCGTCCATTTCCTCACGGGTGGAACTGACCAACAATTCTCATAAATGGACACGGGTGGAACTGACCAACAATTCTCATTGGAACAATATTCTTGGTATTCCTTCTCGTTGCTAAATATATGGGAAAGAAGAACAGAAAGTTATTTTGGATGCCAGCAATTGCGCCGCTTATCTCTGTTGTTTTAGCGACATTTTTTGTCTATATTTTTCATGCTGAAAGACACGGAGTACAAATAGTGAAACACATAAAAAAGGGAACCAATCCCTCTTTAGAGCTTATATATTTTTCGGGACCGTTTCTAGGGAAAGGAGTCAAAATTGGCATCATTGCTGGCATGATTGCACTAACGAAAGCTGTGGTAATTGGAAGAACATTTGCATCCATGAAGGACTATCAGTTGGATGGAAACAAAGAGATGGTTGCGCTTGGGACAATGAATGTCATTGGTTCTCTATTTTTATTTTCAGTGACAGACAGAAATAGGGTGTGTTTGCTCTGTTTTTCTTTTGCCTGTGATATATCAAGTGAACAGAAAAGTTTTTTTCTTGTTCTTTTTTTTTGTCTGTTCTGTTTTTTATTTTTCTTCCATCGGAATCTGCTCAAATTTAAATATGTTAAATCTTAATGAATTGTTATTTTATTTTCGTCTAGACCTAGATTTAAATAAGTTAAATCTTAATGAACCATTGAGGAGATGGCTTCTTCCATTTTTTTAAATTACATTTGCTAGCATATTGCTACTAATTATTTATTTGGATACTCCAGATCATCCAACTCCATTATCTTGATCTAGACAGCTTGCTTGACTTCTCTCTCTTTTTTCATCAAACTGCACGCTCTACAATTGGTATTATTGTTTAATTTTGTGTGTTTACAGATATTTTTTTAATAATATATGTTTTACTAATGTTATTATGAAATTCTTATCTCAACAAAATATATTATGAATAAATATACTATTGTAGCTTTTAGATATTAGAAGGCTTTATTAAGACAATATTTTAAAAATTAGACAAAAAAGTATCGAGAATAGATAAAAATATAACTTACAATAATATCATGTTGAACATATAAAATCCACATCAAAATAAAAAAATATATATTATAGCATTAGGATTGTTTATTAAGACAAAATATTAAAATAATTAGATAAAATAACTAAAAATTATATAAAATATGACCAGCATAATAACTAAAAATATTTGGCTCATGAGATGTGCCCTCAGGTATTCCTCATATGCTTGGTTAGCTTCTCTTTATGGCTTAAAATGACAAATCTGCTTATTAAGAGGAATATCAATATGTTGAGAACTTCTTATCTTTGCTTCAAATAGGTTGAGAATCATAAACTTCTATTTTTTCAATAAAACTATTATTTTTTAGTCATTACAACTTTATTGTCTTACCTAGAGGTTTTTTTTTTACTTAGACCCCCTTATGCAGCAACTGTTTGTTCACTTTGTTGACCTGTCTTACTTAAATTCTCATGAGAATAACTTTTTCTACTTCATTATTTGGTGCTCTTTGCATTTTTTGTGGACGGAGAGAAATGATATGCATTTTGCTGGTAATTGGACTTGCTCCTGCTCCATCTACAACAACAATATCTGATCTAAATTATATTAAAATAGACAAAAAATATTAACTTTATTTTTATTTTTTATTTATTCATATGAAAATAAATTAAACAACTATGTCAAATTGACTACATTAATTATATAAAAATAAACTTAAAAACAATTAAATTTAATTTAAAATAATGTTGTATATAAATAATTATATTACATTGAACTAAAAAAATAAAGTTAATATTTTTTTTTCTATTTTAATATAATTTAGATCAGATATTGTTGTTGTAGATGGAGCAGGAGCAAGTCCAATTACCAGCAAAATGCATATCATTTCTCTCCATCCACAAAAAATTCAAAGAGCACCAAATAATGAAGTAGAAAAAGTTATTCTCATGAGAATTTAAGTAAGACAGGTCAACAAAGTGAACAAACAGTTGCTGCATAAGGGGGTCTAAGTAAAAAAAAAACCTCTAGGTAAGACAATAAAGTTGTAATGACTAAAAAATAATAGTTTTATTGAAAAAATAGAAGTTTATGATTCTCAACCTATTTGAAGCAAAGATAAGAAGTTCCCAACATATTGATATTCCTCTTAATAAGCAGATTTGTCATTTTAAGCCATAAAGAGAAGCTAACCAAGCATATGAGGAATACCTGAGGGCACATCTCATGAGCCAAATATTTTTAGTTATTATGCTGGTCATATTTTATATAATTTTTAGTTATTTTATCTAATTATTTTAATATTTTGTCTTAATAAACAATCCTAATGCTATAATATATATTTTTTTATTTTGATGTGGATTTTATATGCACAACATGATATTATTGCCAGTTATATTCTTATCTATTCTCGTTACTTTTTGTCTAGTTTTTAAAATGTTGTTTTAATAAAACCTTCTAATATCTAAATGTTACAAGGTTATATTTCTTCATAATAGATTTTTTTGAGATAAGAACTTCAGAATAACATTAGTAAAACATATATTATTAAAAAAATAGCTGTAACCACACAAAATTAAATAATAATACCAATTGTAGAGCTTGTAGTCTGAAGAAAAAAGAGAGAGAAGTCAAGCAAGCCGTCTAGATCACGATAATGAAGTTGGATGAGAGAAGTCAAGCGAGCCGTCTAGATCAAGATAATGAAGTTGGATGATCTGGAGTATCCAAATAAATAATTAGTAGCAATATGCTAGCAAATGTAATTTAAAAAAATGGAAGAAGCCATCTCCTCAATGGTTCATTAAGATTTAA